TGCTGTGCAAAAGCTTTTAAGTTTCATTAGGTCCCATTTGTTTATTTTTGTTTTTATTTCCACTTCTCTAGGAGGTGGGTCAAAAAGGATCTTGCTGTGATTTATGTCATAGAGTGTGCTGCCTATGTTTTCCTCTAAGAGTTTTATAATGTCTGGCCTTACATTTAGGTCCTAGATATATTTTAGTTTATAATATAGCTAAGAACTTAGGCATTCTCTCTTTCTTCATGCTATGAGGCACTGTTCAAAGTACACCCATTTTATTGTCAACCTGGCTCAGGTTCTACTACCTACAGTTTAAGTTTATTCCTGAGAGACTGATCTAATTTCGGTGAAAGATAAAGTCAAATTTCTAGACCTGTAGAACTAAGGATAAAACCTCAAAAGGCTGTACGTTTGCCGAACTAAAAAGCATCTAGCGGCCTGTCAACCTTCCCTGGGAATACTCCTGTGCTTCAGGAGACGTAATAGAGTTAGTGTAGAGAACGAGATACCAAGAATATAATGATGAATGATCTGTTCCAAGTTATTTGACACGGATACTTAATCAATGTCTACATGTAGTTACTTGAATACAATATTGTTATCAGGTTTGTTGTCCTACTCTTACTTTCCAAACTAACGTTTTTCTTAAACATGTTAGACTACAATCAAAATACAGAACATGAATAAAGCTCTTGGTTGTCAAGACTCAACTCTGTTTTATTTTATCTTTTTGTAATTAATACTCTCAGACCAAAGGAAAGAGAACAAATAATTATAGATCCATAGACTTCCAATAAAAAAGAAGATTACAGGTAAAATAAACATCAGGTAGCTGTCAGTGAACAACAGGATATTTCAATCATTCAAGCCAGGTGTCTATTCATTTAAGGACACATATTCATTTACACATAGAAAGACTGCAGATAATCTACACTAGCGTATCTCAGAATGTGTTCCCGGGAATGTTACTTTATACTCCCCCCACCCCACCCACCTGCCAAAAAGACACTATGTCAAATAAACCTGCATAATATGGCATACAATACCCTCCTCTTAGATATTCACAATGTGCATCAGTATATTAGAGGCTTTGACAGGTTATTCTGTAAATGAGCCAACTAATCACAACCTATCATGGTCAAATTTATTAGACTTGGGAAATCCTTTGACTATGTCCATTATCCTGTGGAATAATTATTACAAAGAATACATTTGGGAAATGTGTAAATTCTGATGATATCAGGGTTTTGTATCTCCAGGAACAAAAGTTATTTTTCATCATTGTTTCTATGCTATGAAGTAATGGCAATGAACATTTTGCTGCAGTATACTGGAGCAAAAAGTTAAGCTTTAATATATGAGATATTGTAAAATCTGAGTATAAACACCTGAGTTCTTTTCTATAATGGAGAACGCCTCCAAATTTCCTGTTTATATTTTAGCTGGTCCAACAACAAAAAGAAGATGATATCTCAAAAATAGTTTGTGCATACATTTCCATCTAAAACATATGCTTAGGTCAAATTTAAAATGTTTCTTCTAATAGATTCTATTCCAGATCAATCTAATACAATGCATATGATTGTATGCATGTGGGTCTTTCTATATGAACACAGGAAAAATGTGCTTACATAGTTTAAAAAAAGACTTCTTTTACCTGACCCCAATGAGGATATAATTTTAAAAATTTAACAACATATTTATAGAAATATGAATAAAAATAAACCTATAATATAAAGTTAAACCACATTCACTACCAATTTCAGAAACTCCAGTTTTAAAAATAACTATGTCAAGAAAAAGTTTAATACTAAATGGAGCACAGGGAATACAGCTTACTGGTTGATAAGTAAAATTACTTTATTGTAATACTGCTGTGGAATAAAATCACACACGTAACTTGTACATGCAGGGGAAATACAGCCTAATGTAAACAGATGGTTTTTAGCACATTCCTTTACTAGAATGTGGTCACCTGCCACAAAGTACACAAGCTCATGCATAAGATCAAGACTTTACATACAGCTGAGATCACAACGTCATGCATATAACAGCAGCGTGCTAGACAATCGTACCACAAACTGTGCGGAAGTTCTCCCCCACCCCATAAGCCACTGCCAGCAGCTGCTGTGGAGTTTGGTTACCCATATCCGTGACATGAACGATGTCCTTTGGAGAATCTCGTTCCCTGTGGCTGTAAGTATTCTTATTTTTATAATATTTTAATGATGCTTGCTATCAAAATGTTAAGTACAGAACTAGAAATTATGGAAAAGTAGACTTGTTACAATACTGAACAATTATATACATCTTATCTCAGGTACTTAAAATAAACACCACTTACATTTAAACATATCATCAAAAATAATTTACTTCTCAGGCTTAAATGAACCCAAATAACACATCTGATGACAGCGTTCCAGTGAAGGGGGAAAAAAAAATCAACCTCCATAAAGTATTTCCTGACTGCTAGCACTAAAAAATCATGGCAAGAGTCATTCTAAGACCTGGCTAAAGTATGACTCATTGTAGGTAAGTTCTATATAAAAACACCTATTAGAATAATCTTTCAATTATATTTTGGTTGGATAAACAACCAAATTGATATTGATTATTTATTAGTCAATGAAAGCAAGTGTGGAATAGTTATCAAAATACTTCTCATTTCCCTGCACCTACAAGTGTACTTCAATGTCCTTCCATGCCTATTTATGTCCTAAGTATATTCTGGTAAAGAGAGAATTCTATTTTGTTATTAGGCGACAGCTGCTTGCTGAGTTACTGATGTTCATAAAAGCGTAGAAGCAGAATTCTGGAACCAAAAGTCACTTTGAATGGTTCAGTTCCATGCCGCCTGGCAGCAGTATGTGCCCCTTTCAAAACAGTAAATTCAATACTTCTGGAATGCTCCAGGATATCCTTGAATCAGGCCAGGGAGTAAAGGAAAAAATACAGCCAACTCTCAATAACAATGGTAGGTAGGATGGATAAGTAAAAATCTGAAGATCTAAAAATCTTATTTTAATTAGTAAATTGGATCCCCTCTTTAAATATTTGACTGAAATTTTTTAATATTTTTTTGCCAGATAAAAAGAGGACTTTAATTTTGCCTCTTTTCTCTGCCCCCACCCCCGCCCAAACACTCTAGAGGAGGTGAAGAACTCTATAGTCTGATATATGTAGTTGCAAAGATGGAAACATATTTTGACATCTAGCTTTTCCAATTTAGATATTTAAAACTACCCATATCATATTCTAGTATATAAGGGCCTATCTACAGTTTCATCTTTGCATAATAAGGATGCTTTATAACTTGTTTAAAAATTAGTACTCCTTTAGCAAGGAATGACTACTTACCATAATCAACATGAGCAGTCACATCCAACTTGTCTGACTTTGACAATCTACAACTCAGTACTTACCAAGTTACACTTTCCTTAGAATGTAACATTTGAAAGTGATATGAATTGAAGATGACAGTTTTACTCAACATTGGTGTTAATTCATGACTGGAGCCAGTATGCCTTGATAAACTGGGCATAAGACAGGGCCTGTAATAGCTGCCTTTCCTGATTCCTGCGTATCTGGAGTAAAACGCTGTACTACTCTGCCCCAGTTCTTCTCCAGTAATCATCATTCAATTAACTCAAGATACTGATGTGAAATATTTCTTATTATAACGCTAGTCATATAACTGTTTCAATTAGCAACATCCATATTATATTGGTTTCAAATGTGTAATTTGAACTTTAACTTCTTATAAATCATTCTACTTTCATTAAAAGTATCAGTCTTCTATTCACTGAAAGTAAAAACTGGTGAAAGAGAACAAATATAACATATTTGTTGCTTATAACATATTTGCTTTATAACATATATACTTTGTTGTATTTGGGCTAAGACTTAACTGATGATGTACATGTATTAGTAAACCTTTGTAGCAGTGTTATATTTTTATTCATGTACAAGAAAAATTTAACAGAGAAATATATAATAAGCAAAAGTCAATTTAATTTCAAAATGTCATTTGTATTATTATGTGCATATTTATAAGATCAGTAGTTCTTTAATATGAATTAATATTAATTAAAGAATATTAATATTAAGGTAACTAGGGAGTCCTTAATACCTCTACAACAAATGAAGAACGTTGGTTTTTGAAAAGTAAGTAAATTAACATAACTGCCAGACAAATTTTTCCACAGAAAATGATCCACCCATAAGTATTAGTTCTGAGTGTTATATAATTTCTATTAGATTTCTAAGAGTAAGTCTAGTAGATACTTAAACATTTCTGAAACTCCGAATCTTTCCAGAATATATTAAAATAAGAACAGGGGTAAGGGAGAATCAGAGAAAGAATTGTCTTCACATTTTGATCACTCATATGTTATGTTAAGAAATAATTAAATAATTAATTAATTTCAAACAGTTCTTTTTGCTTCTCCCACTCTCCCTGCTCTCTATTCATGTTTGCTTATTGTCTTAAGAAAAAAGAATTAAAGAATTAATGCAAAATTATTCAGTTTTATAACAGAATCTATAAGTTGTTTCTATGCCATCATGTATTAGATTGTTAAAGGCATTATTTAAAGACATTCTTATGTGTCACAAACTAGAAAAATGTCCTTTGTGATTATCTCTGATAAAAATAGCATTGTTAGTAAATGGAAATGATGAAACAAAGAAAATGCTGCAGATAAAGTTTGATGAACATATTTTGTGTTCTCGACTTATAATGTAGTAGTATCTCAACCAAGTCCAGTGGCGGGCTGCATATATGTCATGGAAGCTGCCATACAAAGTGAGCAGGTAGCAAGATTAGAACATGACATGGTAAGGTAAAAAGAAATGACTAAGTCACATAGCAATAACTTCAAATACCAGGCTTTGCAATGATTGAAAAGTCATGTTCAGTGACTTATAATTTACTTGCAAGTTTATTATGTTGGAAAGCTGCAGCAAGACAACAATAAAGTTCGCAACTGTTACAAATATTCAAATTCTTCACTTACCTCATCTGGGTTAGCATTAAAGGTGAGGCTGCCTTCATCCAGCTGCATGTACAATTTTCTAAAAGAAAATCCTAGAGGTGGGTTCTTATTGTATATGGAACAGTGACCCCAAGTGGATTTACACAACCTGTAAGTAAGATAAAAGCAGACGAGAAAACATGACTATATTGAATTTTTCTAAGTTAAATATGTATATATATGATAAAATAGTGATATGAAATAACATAAAATTGGATTTTACAGCTCTAAAGTATAAAATGTTTACTTTTATACTTGTTTTATTTGTTTACCAGAGTAAGATAGACAAATGTCTTCAATTTAGCAATTTTGACAGCACTTAATAAATGTGAGTTACAAAGATTAGTAATATTTGTGAGTCCTACTGAAGTTAAACATAAATAATGATGATGATAATGATAGCCAACATTTACCAGGTGCTTACTCGATGCCAGGCACTATTTAAAGCATTTTAATAGTATTAGCTTGCTCAGTCTTTACAACAATCCCATGATTTGGTGCTACAGATAAAGAAACAGACACCATAAAAAAGTTGCCCAGGGAAACACAGCTTGATCTGAATCCAAGGAGCTTACTCCTGAGTTTGCAAACAGGCTCCGGACGCGCAGGCTCAGCGGCCATGGCTCACGGGCCCAGCCGCTCCGAGGCATGTAGGATCTTCCCGGACCGGGGCACGCACCCGCGTCCCCTGCATCGGCAGGTGAACTCTCAACCACTGCACCACCAGGGAAGCCCCTGAGTTTGCAATCTTAACCAAGAGTTTAAACAGAATTAAGCAAGAGTGTGCTCTATTGCGAAATATAACCGAATTGGTAGAAGGAGGAAGGTTGCTGGGCAGAGGGAGAAATTATAATGCTATAACTTCAATACTTAAATTGCAACATTAAGTTTAGCAGTTTTTAAGATACTGCTTCAAAACGCTGGTTCTTTACTATCACAGCTATATATGATTGTTTACAAAATCTGTAATACTTAAAATGCTAATGGTTCATACCTCAAAACACACTGTTTCTACACATTGGTATACCTGTTTCCAACTCTGTTTGAGGCATTAGCTACTGGTTGTTATTTGAAAGCTAACGTTTCATCTTATTACAATGCCTGGAAATTCTGGATGTATTCATCCAGAAAGTGAACCATAGTTTCACTTTCTGATATTCATCATTGATTTTTGGCACAAACTTCCTTCTTTTCTCACACACATAGCTTACAAGAAAACAAAAAAGTTACCGTCTCAGCCTGTAACATCAAAATTTCTGAGGATAGTGGGTAAAATATCTAATTTTGTATGGGAATATCTTCTTAATAGTTAATTTATATCCTTGCATTATTTTTACCAACCAAATGAAATCACTGATTTCATAACAATGAGTTTAGTAACTTGTTTAGAAAATTATCAATATTTTAGCAGTCTCTTTAATCTAGTCCCATAGCTTTCGATTTTATTACTAAGCTACATGAAAGCAACAGAACCTCTCAACATCCAAATTAAAAAAACAAAAAACAAAAAACTAAGCTAGCCTTTAATTTATCACTAAGAAAAAAAAAATCCAAGCATCAGATATATAGGCATAATTATGTGGTAAACACTAAAGGAAGCATTTCTTTTAAAAATGAACAATCCAAATTTAAATCCCAAATGAAAACCACATTCTGATTGAGTTCATATAAGCATAGAAATAAACTCTTCTACAAAGTTCAAATATAGGATCATAAATTAAGTTTGATGGGAATACTAAAGTGTAGAAAAGAGGTTATAAATAAAAGTGAGCCAGTTTTAAAGTACTTTTTTTTTTAAGAAGATGTTGAGGGTAGGAGTTTATTAATTAATTAATTTATTTTTGTTGTGTTGGGTCTTCGTTTCTGTGCGAGGGCTTTCTCTAGTTGTGGTGAGTGGGGGTCACTCGTCATCGCGGTGTGCGGGCCTCTCACTATCGTGGCCTCTCTTGCTGCGGAGCACAGGCTCCAGATGCGCAGGCTCAGTAGTTGTGGCTCACGGGCCTAGTTGCTCCGCGGCATGTGGGATCCTCCCAGACCAGGGCTCGAACCCATGTCCCCTGCATTAGCAGGCAGGTTCTCAACCACTGCGCCACCAGGGAAGCCCTAAAGTACTTTTTTTTCCTCTTACACTGAACAATTAAAAATTAATAACTATACTTTAAATATTACTAATAGAATTTCCTCTCACTTCCACAGTAACTTCATTATGACAAGACAAGGGAAGAATAACAAGATGATATTGATGATTTTTAGCTATTTGAAGGTTGAGAAATGAACTACATAATTAATACTATAATTCCGTAGCATCGGGAAGCCTGAGTTAAAAATGTCATTGTTGGTAATACATTTTTACTAAAGTTTGGCTATTTAGATAATTGATTCTCTCCATAGATTTCATTGAAAAATGGTTTTAAAGTCTCAAAAAACTTGTTTTTAGACATGTTTTACTCCGTTCAGAAGTTTCATTTTAAAATAATGAGACTTAAGTAAACTTTGGTAAAGAATGCTAGAAAACCCAAGATTCAATGATTCTTTCATTTTCATGACTCATGTATACAATCTGTTAAGGAGTAACTTAGGTTCCATAGATTCTATTGCACCAAAAGTTCTTAGATTTATAGCTTAAATTTAACCTGGGAAAAGAACTGCTGAAATTTCTACAGTCTACTTTCACTTCAGCAAGTAGATTATCTCTTTGCTTTCCAATATTTGCCTAATTCATTGAACAAATAGTGGTTAGAAAATATAAAAAGTAGATGAAATATTCACCAGTTAAAGTTTATGCTAACAAGCAGCACCAACCCCCCCAAAACAAACAAACAAACACAAAAAACAAAAATCCCACAACCTGTAGGCAAGATTCTACTTAGAGCTATCTGGATCCAACATGGTGGGCTGAACTTACCCTTGCCAGAGAAGTTCATCATTGGCCAGGTCCTGCCAAACACAGGAAGCTAAGCAGAGGTCAGTTGCATTCAGGTAGGACAAGATGGTAAAGCTTAGCTCGGGAGGCAACATTTCCAAATTAATGAATCCTTCCTGTTCTTTCGATTTCCTTGTCTTCAAAAGATGATATATATCAATGCCCCCTTGGACTTGTTTGCGATGACTGGTGTTAGAAATGCTGCTGGCAGCCATCCTCCTGCCCTGCTCTCTGCTGAGGTAGCCTTGCTCACTGTAGCCTTCCTGCTGTAGCTGCTGGTTTCTGGCGACTCTCCACAGCCCCTGACCCATCTGCAAGCCTGGGAGAAAGCCAGAATGGAGTAAGAAGGCGACATTACAAAAGTAATCCACCTTTCCCTGCGGTACAACAAGTCTACATGAAGCATTCATTTATCAGAATGAACATTGCTCATTAAAGCGTATTAAATGGAGTAGGAAATTACAAATAGTTGGAACATAGTAAGTATGAAACTTGGATGGAGAACTATTTAGTTTGATTATCACCTTTATCTCAGTTTGCTAACCACTTTTAAAGTCCACAGGTGACATAATCATTTTTCACAAGTTAAGATTTAAAAATTACTGACGTCTTAAAGACTCTTACAAATTATAATTATGTGGACTTATGGGCCAGTAATAAATACAACTCTGATCAGAGCACAGGACTTCACTTAAAAGACCTGTACACCCTGCTTTTTATCACAACCCAGGCTAAGCTAAGCTAGGCCCTTTTAACCAAATTCCCAGATGCATAACAGCTGTGAAACAGGCTTTTCGTTTAATTCTTGCCAGTCTGCTCTTAAGTTGTGGGCTGTAATAAAATGTAACATAGGCCCTGAAGTCTAATTCCGAAACCTTATAAATTAGACACGTAGGACTCCATGATAAAGAGCTCAGTAATGACTATTTGGTTCTGTTGCTGCTTTAAATACAAATCATAATTTAGACTAATTTTCCAGTTCTTCTCCAGGAGCCCTATGGACTCCTCAGAGGTACCTGGGAAAAGGCAGGAGAAGGGATGGGAGTGCTCTAGCCTCTTCTCTCTCCACTTGACCTCCAACCAAAGTAGCTCTACATTTATCTCTTACAAATATCAGACTTTCTCATATACAAATATTTAGAAGACTATTGGCCTAGACTTTCTATTTCACTTGGTTTTGCAAATAAGTGACTTTTCCTGGGCAAATAAATTCACTGAGAAAAATGAAATCAGGAAGAGCTTTTAACTAACACAAATAATTATTTTCATGATCTCTTTTACAAACAAAATATTCTTGTTTTAAAAGCCCAAGTTGACTACTGGGACGTGCGTGTTTTAAAAATTTGGAGGAAGAAATGGATTTTTGTTCAAAATCATTCAAATAAATTTCATAGCGTGACCTAAACTTAAAATATGGTTTTGTTTTAATTGGCTGCTTACAATAAGGAGTAATAATCAAAAAATAAAAAAGCAACCCCTCCCCAAGCCCACTGGTGACCAGAAATTCTGAAAATTATTAGGAATAATTTGAAAATTGAGTCGAATTTCAAAGAATGTCACCGAGTATTTTTTCAGTATTTAAAAAGGCATGTATATTTATTGAATTATTGTCTGTTAGTTGGATAATGGCCACTGTAACAGGCTACTTGTTGATTAAAACAGAAAAAACAGTCCAGGATAATTTTTCACTCTTTGTCCTTACTGTGAACTGCTTGGAAATCCACAAGCTTAAGCTATAAAGAGATGCGGGAGGGAGGATACAGAGAGAAGGAACATATTAATAATTTTTAAATGTGGGGAAATTTGTTTTTGCAAAGAAACCACAAAAGGTAGTAACTTTTCCTCCCTACGACACATACTACCATAATGGTAGCAGTTCCTGAAGTAGTGGTTAAGCTATTAATAATTAAATTCTTATTTTCTATTAGAATGATTGAAATCCCAAACTGACAACACCAAATGCTGGCAAGGATGTGTGAATTCAAAATGGTACAGTCACTTTGGAAGACAGTTTGACAGTTTCTTACAAAAATAAACATACTTTAACGATATGGTCCAGCATTTATGCTCCTTGGTATCTACCCAAATAAGTTGGGAACTCATGTCCACACAAAAGCCTGCACACAAACCTGCAGCTTTAGTCATAATTACCAAAACTTATAAGCAATCAAGTTGCCCTTCAGCAGGTGAATGGATAATTTACTGTGGTACATCCAGACAATGGAATGTTTAGTGCTAGAAAGAAGTGAGCTACCAAGCCATGAAAAAATATGCAAGAAACTTAAGTGCATACTACTAAGTGAAAGCAGCTGACCTGAAAATGCTATGTAATATGTGATTCCAATTATAAGACATTCTAGAAAAGGCAAAACTACAGACAGTAAATTAACACAGAAAAAAATACAGAATATCAACAAAAATTTGTAAGGAGCTATAAGTTTCCTTAATGTTTAAATATGCTATGTCATGTTACAACATAAGTACAACTTAATTTTGACACAAAAGACTCATACACATTTAAAAAATTTTATCATAGCCATTTCTCTGTTTATCTTAGCAAGAAAATATCTAGAAATTGAATTGATTGCTAAGCTCACCCAGTATATCTGTCGTCATTTTAGATAATTATATTTATTCTTCTCTTTTGCATTTGTAGCACTAAAGGTAAATAATCAAACGTGGTGACTGTGATGTCTGAAGTCTCAAGATTTAAGGCATTTAGTATCAATTTTGTATGTACTTTCCCTACAACATCTTTCTAGGGACATATGGTTAGGCAGCTGTTATTACTCTCAGGGATGTTGCTAGGGGACACAGAATCAGGGTGATTTCCCTAGGCTCTGGACTTTAATGGGGATCACTTAAATAGAGCACTGGATAAAGTGATTCGGAAAGCATCCAGCAGGTAGAAAAGAGGTTAAGCCAACAGCTGGTTCTTAGGATTAAAACAAGTTGATGGGGAGGGTGGAGGTTTGAGGCTCATCTACACGTGATTCAGACAAAGAAAACTGCATTTTCTATTCTTCTACTGCTAAATAAATATTCTTCTATTGCAAATTACCCTTGCGGGATGTCTTTTTCCCTTTAAAGCAGTTCTTGATACGAAGCATGAACACAGTATGATATATCACTTGAGAAGTATTACTATCATATATTTATCCTTCGGAGAAAGGAAAGGGTGTCGACAGTGTTCCACCCCACTCCCAGTCTTCCTTAGGGTAATAGTGGTGTGGAAGGTGGACAGAACTGTCAGAAAAGTGATAAAACTCTCAAAAAGACAGGAGATCCACTACAGAAGCTGTGAAGCAAGTCACAGAGGGAGCATAGTGCTGTGGACTTTGAAGTTGAACAGACTCGAGTTCAAATCCTGACTTCACTAACGAGCACTTACAGGACCTTGGGGAATCTACTCGACTAGTCTAAGCTTTGGTTTCCTCATATTTAAGGTGATAATTTGCATATAATATAGTGGTAATACATATAGTTCAGAGGGCTGTTGTATTAAACATTACATATAAAGTGCACTTCACAGCTAATAATAAAATGTTAGCTCATTTGTTTTGACAAAACCATATTTTCACAGAGTGAAAATGATGAGCATTTCAGTAAAACTTATTGAATGATACTTCAATTATCACATAAAAAAAAGAAATCCATGAGTGAGTCTACACTGATGATCACTAAATATTACATGAAGAAAGGAAAGCTCTTCCTTATAGTAAAATTCTGAATAATGAGTTAGAAAAATCATCATTTAACTACCATCATAGAAAAACTAATTCTTAAGGCAAGAATTATCAGTGGGTGCTGAATCTGGAATTTGATAAAGAATGGAAGATTTACAGAGTCTCAAATATATTACTCATTAATTACAAAAAGAAATTAAGAAATCAGACAATATTTAACCAAGTGTTCAAACTTAACATTTACCAATAAGAGACAAACGGACATATATGCCTCTCTGGACATGATACCCTGAGAAGGATAGGACATATATGCCTCTCTGGACGTTATACCCTGAGAAGGATAGGACATATATGCCTCTCTGGACGTGATACCCTGAGAAGGATATAACAATTATACAGTACTCTGGCCAAAAATATATAACCTTTATCTAATCATGAGGAATATCAGAGAAACCCAAGAGTCTATAAATAATCTTTTTTTTCCTTCAAAATTGCCAATGCTGTGAAGATAAAGAAAGGAATCATCCCAGATTAAAGGACACTGAAAAACATGACATCTAAATGCAGTGTGTGGACTGGATCTTAGCATGAAAAAAAAGTGCTAGAAAGGACATTATTGGGATAACTGAAAAACTAGACATACGGGCTGTAGACTGGATAAAAATACTTATATGAATGTCAACTTTTCTGAATTTGATAACTGTACAGCGGTTTTGTCAGAGTATATTCTTGTTCTTTAAGAAAAAAACTGAATTATTGAGGCATAATGTATAAGACAGTCTCAAATGGTTCAGAAAAACAGAAACATCTGTCTCTATACAGAGAGAATGTTAACGCAATGTTGCAAAATGTTTAAAATTGGTGAATCTGGGTAAAAGGTACACACCAGTTATTTTTATTAATCGTACAACCTTTCTGTAAACAGAAATCTCCTGATTGAGGAATCCAAGCATGTGAAACTTGAAAATAACTGAGTTTGATGTGCACTAAGTATAAGAATTACTGCCCTAAGAGCTTAGCATCATACAGACTGAAAACCATCACGGAGATAAATGCTCAGCATCACAGTTTAAGAGTAGTAGGAGACCCCTGTCAAGGCAAACATCAAAATAGTAAGAATTATTCTTGTCAGTTGTGATAGAAAATTTTCTTTTAAAGGCTGAAGAAGTATTTTTAAAGAAAGTAGGGGAAAAAAATACCCCTTTAACTTTGCATGTGCAGATTTAAGGCTTGGAATTCCTGGCTGTGTTCCCTCCTTCCATACATAATATTATGTGCACAATATTTTTAACATAATATTTAATAATATAAATATTAAACCATAATATTGTTTTTGTACTATAAACCACAATTTATTTAGTACTTACTCTATGCCAAGCATTGTGGAAGTTTTAATACATTATCTCATTTTTGTCCTCAAAACAACCTTCATAGGTAGATATTATTCTAATTTTATAGCTGAAGAAATAGTGACTCAGAGAGGTTAAGCAACTTTGCCCAAGATCTCAGAGCTGGCAAATGGAAAACTTAGGATTCCATCTCAGGTCTATCTGAGTCCAAAGGTTAGTCTTAACCACCAAACCTTATGCCCAGAACTGGCAAAGACGATCCACCATCTGCTTCTTCATCACCA